TGGACCAAATTTTTTTACAAGATTATTAACATGAACAATAGCTGTACCAGTTGAATTTCTTCTCGAAAATAATGCATTACGATTAGGTAATGATTCAGTATAATGATCAAATTTTTCTGAACGCCAATAATCTTGTTTAAAGAGAAAATTCCAACCAAGTGGAATACCATATTCACCTAAAAAATTTTAGATAAGTTCGCTATCAATCTGATGAATGCTGTTCCTTGAGAATGGGATGCTTATGAACAGAAGCATTGATATTCCTAGTAATGAGTATATGGTCAGTATCCGCATTTGAAAAAAAACATGTCTTAGTTACGTCTGACAAAATTTAGAAATTTTGCCATTCTTTTGAGTTTCCGTTTTAGGAACGGGGAACGCGAGATACGCTCTCCGTTCCAAGAACGCGGAGCCCATAATAATCTCACATAAAGAGATCAGCAAAACTATATAAACGCCTTGGCATATGTAAAAAATTGTAGAATATACGCAATATGAAATGCGTTCCCGTACCTTGGGAACAGAACAATGACACTCTTACCGACAGATTCTACTATAGCGATGAGGACTCCTCGTAGGGTGGGATCATTCTTTCCCATCTCATCTTATTCCATCCCATCATTCTCTGACAGAGACTTCTATTATATAAAACTGTTTTTTAAAGAGCAATACAACGTTTTGATACAGATATTGTTCCCATTTATTCGAGTGGAGCAGACAAGTCAGAAATAAACATTTTTCTACGTTGTAAGTGTGCTCATAAATTGTACTGTTTTAAAAGGTATATTATAAGTGCGATGTCCCATGAGACGAAGCACGAAATTTTCGATAATTATCTCATTCCATGGGACGAAAACTATTTTCATAGTTGTTCCTTGCCATATAGAGCAAGTGGGAGCCGTTGGTCCTATGGGAGGATTTTTTTCTTTCCATTCCATTTCATGAAGATCTCTGATAGCTATCTATCAAAAAATCTGTTTAGATTTTTACCTGGAAATACTTTTTCTAAATACCAAGAGAGTAACCAGTAAAAAATACAACTAAAAATCATAACAATCAATGTTGGAAAATACATTGGTACATAACGATAAATCGTTTGAAATAATGATATATCTTTTTTTGCTAAATCATGTAAAACTGCTTGCTACAAAAAGAAAACTTTTTCTCACGATTTCAATTGAAAAAAAAAACAATTTCTTACCTGAAAAAGTGAATATCCAGCAATATGAGGACTGAAAAATATCAATAAATATTGTATTGGTGTCGGCCAGAAAATGATATATGAATAAATAAATAATGATAAAACATAAATGAAAGCAATAGTTAATTTTGCACGAATATTTTTATCAAATAATTGTGCAATCATTATACAGAGTGAAATTAATTGTAAACCGAATATTAAATAACCAAGAAAGAGAATAAGAAAATTAACTGTGAGAAAATATCCATTTGGTTTTTGTTTCAATACAATGCATAAGAGCAGAGTTAAAAGACAAAAAATAATTAATGTGCTATGAAATAATAAAAAAATGTAGGTTTTTAGGAAAAGATTATTTTCTTTTACCGAATTGCGTGAGCAAAATTATTTAGAATTGATTCAATTCCAAGTACTTTAAGGATTTCTTTAACTTTAGCATTCTTCTCTTGAATTAAACTGGTTAGAAGCATAAAGCACCTAATTAATAAAAGAATGAATTAATCTGTTGATTCCAAATTCTTTTTGCTTACGGAATAAGAAAGATAAAATCAATGAAAGTTTTTATTAAATTTGATAATCCATTTTCTAGAAATAAAAAATCTAATGAAGTTTATATTAATTTCATCATACCAAAAATTAAATTTCTACGAAATGGTGTACAAATCATAGGAGTTCTTTCAAGTTCATATTCAATATTTGTATTCGTTTGATATCCAATAAGTAATGAATCAATAAATATTTTTACATCTGTAAATGCAGGTAATTCCAAACCTCGATCGTTATTATTATCCGTTAAATCCGATCGATCAGCAATGAGTGCTAAATAATTGAATTTGTATAT